CGGGCCTAAAAAAAATTTTTAACCCTAATTGCGGGCCGGGCCGGGCCTCAAAAATAGGCAATTTGCAGGCCCCTATCTCAGATCATACTTCGGATCATATTTTGAAATGAATTTATTAACTCACCTCTGATTGGCTGATCCTAATTAGTAATTTTTACAGTATTAATATATTAATTTAAATAACAAAAATGATCTTAGATTCCTGGATCTAATGTAATACTATTAAATAAGATAGCTATGAAAGTTGTTATACAAAACCAGAGACAAAAGACATGAAGGGTACCAGTATTGCAATTAGTAAATATATAGGTTGTGACTAATTATTGGAAGTGACTATAGTTGTCAGACAAACTGTTTTTGGAAAATGACAAAAAACAAAACCTAAACCTGGTGAAAGTCAAAACTGACAAAACTCTAATGAAAGACGAAACCCCTAGTGAAAGGTGAAACCTACAGTAAAAAATGAAAAGGTAAACTTTAGGCATTTCTTTATAAATCATGTCTTTTGAAGAGAATTCATCCTTCTTTTTAGATAATACTAGATCTGCAATATAAGATTTAGTATTTTTATTATTACATTAATCTGTCATACTATTTTAGACTTTATATCAAATGTAAATTAATTTTTTACTTACTGACTAAATTAATGCAAATGAAATAATAGTAATGGTAAATAAGTATTTATGTTCTTGATTTGTAAACTTGCTTTGCTGTTTTCAATTCTAATGATTAGTAAATGTTCTTTATACTCACTTACTGAATGAATGATTAATGCGAATGAAATGATTTGAAGGTATTACATAATAGTAATAGTAAATAAGTATTTATGTTCTTGTTTTGTGAACTTGCTTTGCTGTTTTTAATTCCAACAATTAATAAATGTTCTTTATACTCACTTACTGAATGAATAATTAATGCAAACGAAATGATTTGAAGGGTATTATATAATGTATTTATGCTCTTGATTTGTGAACTTGCTTTGCTGTTCAAAATTTCAATAATTAATAAATATTCTTTATGCTAGTGGGCTAAATTAAGAAAAATAATTAATATTTATAAACTTAATTAGCTAATAGTAATCTTTTTTATACATACTTTCTAATAAATAAAATTGAATTATTAAAATTGTATAAAAATATTTTCAATTTTTTAAAATATCAAAATTTAAAAAATTAGCTTACTTGTAAAGCCATTCTGAATGATTATCAAAATTTGCTTATCATTATACATCAATTCCATAATAGTAACAAGTAGCAGTTTTCTGAATTCTCATAAAATTACCTACCTTTGCTGACTTTAAATAATGCTTAAATGCTTTTTGTTTATTAATTTCAATCTCAATTCCTAAATTATAACAATAACTAACATAATAAATTTCATCTAGACTATTAAGGTCAGCAGATTTTTGATAATTAACGAATGCCAATTTTTGACATTTATTGAAATTCAATTAAAAAAAATTTTCATTTGCCATTTTGATTTATTCAATGAAATTGCTTATTTATTTTAGCAGTGGTTATGCAATTGTCTAAATTATATCGATACAATTCTGCCATAATTTGAAAATGGCTATTGTAGTTATGCAATATGCACAAATAAAAATTACAAATTTTGATAAAAAATTTGTGTACGTATCAGGATTAATTGCAACACCAGAAATTCTTATAGTAGTTTTGGATTTTTATTTAGTATTATTTAAATAATAAATATATTAATATAAGTATATGTAGAAGTAAATATATAAATATATAAATAATTAGTAATAAATATAAATAAATAGATAAATATGTATATATTAAATAATATTTAAAAATATATAAAAAGATTTATTTTTATTTTTATTGATTAAAGTTTTTAAAATTCTTAAAATGCTGTTACAACAAAATACAGGTTCTTGTAAAATTAAAGATTGTAATAATAATACAAATCGATATCTTAAGTTTACAGAAATGCATTTCAAAAATTAATAGAAAAAAATACATTTAATAATTATAGTTATTTAAATATAAATGATCAATTATGTTATATATATTATTTAGAAATTGTTGAACTAGATAGAAATAACAAAAGAAAATTAGTAGATTTTGAAAATAAAATTTTTGAAATTTTTACTATTTCTGAAGCTATTGAAAATGAATAGAAAAATATTACAATTAGTATTTCTGATGATCAAGTAATTTTAAATAAGAATGATTTTGCAAAATTAATTAATAGAACAAATCAATTAGAATTACAAATTCAAACAAGTCAAGATTTAAATATCTCAAATAATAATAATTTAACTTTTGAAAATAAGCTTGATTTACTTACAAAAGTTCTTTTTAAAGAGCAAAGAAAATTAAATCATTCAATAGAATTAGATCCTGTCAAATTTTCAAAATTAATTACACAATCTAATTTTTAACTGGATGGATTTTTTGATGAAATTTTTAATGCTTTAAGTCCAAAAAATAGAAATCAACAAACTAGAGAAAATGATAAAAAATCAGCTGTTGGATTTTGTTATCTTCTTGCTAGAGCTAGAAACAAATTTGCAAATGAATTAAAAATAAAAATTGGGCTTTATTTATTAGCAAATGGATGTAGTTCTTCTGCAATAGATACATTATCAAATTTAGGAATTACAGCATGTTATAAAACAATAGATGATTATAAAAAAAAAGTAGCAAAAGAACATTCTATAAAAATTTTTGAATATTTTGGAATTTTTGTAAGTATTTTAAAAAATTATTTAATATAAATTTTAATTTTTAGTTTTATTAATTAATTTATTTATTTAGCAAAATAATATGCATATTTTTAATATTGATAATTATCATTCAATTCATTCTTATCATAAACCAAGTTCAACATCTTTATATAATATACATCATATGGCTATATGTATTACAAAAAAAATTAGAAATTGTGCTCCAATACCAGCAATATATAATGAAAATTCTTTTTTTAATCCTTTAAATATTGATGCAACTTTAATTAATAAATATTTATTAGAAAAATATAAAGAATTTTTTAATATAAGTTATAATACTAGAAAATTTCAATGGACTAATAAAATTAAAGAAAAATTTCAACATTTTGATTGAATAGAACTTCTTATAATTCATATATATAATGATGCAATTGCTGAATGAAAAAATGAAAGATCATTAGAAAATATTCAAATTATTAACATAAAAGAACAATCATTAAAATCAATAACAGATTATATTGATGCACTTTCAATAATAACAAATATACCATTATTATATAATTATTTAAATCAAAATATTTTATTAGTTGTAGCTGATTGGCCAGGACAATTATATATTAGAAAAGCTATTACTCAATTATAAAAATAATTAGAATATCAAAAAAATAATCCAGTTTATTAACTTACTATTCCAACAAATATAAAAAATTTTATTTCAATCTTAGGACCTTTACATGTTTCTTTAAATATATGAGAACATATTTTAATAATTCATTATGAATTTTTTAACAAATTATATAAATTTATATTTAATATAAAAAAAAAAAATTTAGCACAAAAACCACAACCTTATAAAATTAATCTTTTGTTAGAATTAGCAAATGAAGGTTGGAAAAAAATTAGTAATATAATAATTTTAAAATTTTCTAAATTATGTAAAGATATAAAATATCAAATGCTTATTGATCTTTTAGACAATTTAATTTTAGCAGCTTTAAATATATATGCACTTATTTTTAAATCTGGATCATTTGAAAAATATATTGAAACTATTTTTTAAATTTGGACATTTGCATTATGTTGGAATCGAAAAAATTATAATAAGGCATCTTTAGCTTTTTTATCTGATTATTTTTATTGGAAAGAAATTAAACATCCTTTTAGTACATTATTGGAATTATGTCTTGTACATTTTAATGATTATTTTGTTGAAAATGTTCATAGTAAAATTCGAGCAAATACAATAGCAAAAGATTCAGCAGATACTATACAAAAACAAACATATATATTAAATCAAAATAATTATTCTTTTATTAATTCTTTTAAAAATACAAAAAAATATCTTTATTCTTTATTAACATTAGATATTTTAATTAAAAAAACATCAATATTTTTATTAGAAACTTTTTGTTCAATTTATAAAAATATTGGAAAAACTAAATTTAACAAAAACAAAAAAAAAATTATATTATCAAATCTTCAACAAATAGTAGATATTAGAAGTCTTCCTACTGGATATCATTCATCATTTCCACTTACATTAAATCAATGTGATTTATGTAAACAAATATTTGTAAAAAATGATAAATCAAATGCAATAATTTTAATTTGTGAACATGGATATCATTTGGATTGTTATAAAAAAATAGATAATAAATGTGAATATTGTATACAATATTATAAAAAAGAAATTTTTGATAATGTTAAAATCATTTATAGAAACTTTAGAAAATAACAAAAAAGAAATTATAGATGACAATGAAAATGAAAATGAAAATGAAACTAATAAAAATGATAAAAATAATGAATCATATTTTTTATCTAAACTAGATAGTATTAATATAAAATATCAAAATGCAATTCTTAATATACAAAATTGGTAAATTGATATTTATTTAAATATTTATATCTATATATTTTTTATTTATTTATATATTCAATATTTATTTTTTATATATACATATATATTTAATTATTTATATATTTATTTATGCTTATAATTATTTATTAAATTTATTTGATTTATATATATATAAACTATATTCTAAGATTTATAAATTAATTTTAACAATTTATAACATATATTAAAATTCTATCAAAATTTTAACCAATTTTTAACTTTATACTAAAGTTAATACTTAAATTCAGATTTAATTATTAGATTTAGATTTAATTATTAAATTCAAATTTAGTTATTATAGCTGTTCTTATAAATTCTGAAGCAACTTATAAAAATTTGATCAGCCAAATTCAATAAGTTTTTGAATTTAGTATTATCGAATTACTATAATGCCGAAAATTCAATTCTGATAACACTGAATTTAAAAACTTATCAAATTTGGCAAATCAAATTTTTATCAGTTGTCCTAGAATTTATGAGAACAGCTGTAAATTCAAATATAAAATTTAGATTTAAATATACAGACACATTAGCTTTGTTTATTTACAAATGCATTTCAGATATATCATAACAATACTAGATATTATTGTTAAATCTGGATCTAATAATTAAATTCGGATCTAATAATTAAATCCGAATTTAATGATTAAATCCAAATATAATTAATTAAATTTAATCTAAGTATTACAACTGTGATAAAAATTTGATCTACCGAATTCGATAAGTTTTTGAATTTGGTGTTATCAGAATTGGATTTTTGGCATTATAGTAATTCGATAATACTGAATTCAAAAACTTATTGAATTTGAATAATCAAATTTTTATTAGTTGTTCCAGAATTTATGAGAACAGCTATAACTCTAATCTGTGCCCAGTTTTATCAATCATTGCGATGCAGAAAATTCTCTAAAATTCAATAATATTAGAGTTAGCATTTAGAATAAATTGAAAATTAGATAAAAATATAGTAAAATCATTCAAGGAAAACTTTTTGTTAGAGCATTACAACTATTCTTATAAATTCTAGGACAATTAATAAAAATTTGTCAACTGAATTTGATAAGTTTTTGAATTTGATGTCATCAAATTACTATAATGTCAAAAACCCAATTCTGATAACACTGACTTTAAAAATTTATCGAATTTGGCTGATCAATTTTTATTAGTTGTTACTGAATTTATGAATTATGTTATGTTATACCTGATTCTTAAGCTCTAATTTGTGAATCAGGCAAACTCAAGCACAGATTCAAAAATTGTAATTTTATGATAATAATCTGTCAGAATCTGTCTTTGTTAGGTTTATGAACTATTAGGATTTAGTATTGCTATTCTAATAACCATAAATGTAAAAAAATTTATATTAGTCTATAATATACTATATATTATAAATAAAAGTGAATTTTAAATTTGCAATTCCATTATGATATATAATAAATAAAAAATTGTACTTATTTTAAATATCTTGACTAATAAATAGGTTATTATAAGACCTTTCTAATTGCATGCATAATATAAATACATGCTCTATATAAATTTTCTAAAATAACTTTGGTTCAACTAAGGATGCAGATGAATCATCTTAATGATGTCATAACATTATTAAATAATTATAAAAGCATGTTATAGCAAAGTTATGACATCATTAAGAAGATTTGTCTGCATTTCTAATTTAAACTCATATTTTGCTCTCTATGAATGCATATGTGATTTTTTTTTTATGATTTCAAAGTGTGCAGTTTTACTGCATCTTAATTTATAAAAATAGGATTAGAATCAAAAATATAAAAAATAATGTAGAGCATTCATTTACTATCAAAAAATTTGGTAAATAATATCATAGTACAGTATCAAAAAATAATATTAAGTAATTAACAAGCAAGACAGTAAAATGATCATATACTTACTTATTCATACGCTATTCTAATATATTTTATAAATGCCTAATTGTTAAAAACAGATTCGTAATACACCACTAAGCATCTCTAAAAGGAGTTATAAAAAAAAAAACCTCCAGATCTGTTATTATATTAGAACTACACAAAATAAAAATACTAATCATATTGATTTACTCGAAATGATGAATCTTTATAACCTATCTCACTAAAGATTTTTTTCAAGCATTTGCTGATATGGTTGTACATTATAATCTTTATTTGCCTATTAGCTTATTTTTTGTTACTGTATTTTACTCTTTTCTCTATTTTACTAAAAGTAATAAAAAAAAAGCTAATTAGTATACATATAAGTAGAAATTCAATCAACTATATGTCCTGACCTTTCTGACATTGTTAAGATTGGTAAAACTTTTGTTTCTCATTCACTTTTTAATCTTTTGTATCTTATTGTATCTCAAATCAAAAAACAGTAGCTTTACAGCTAAAATATAGAATATTATGCTAGTTGTAGTATTTTATATATAATAAAAAAATTTTTCATTTGTTATGATGATTTTTACTTATAAAAGTACTTTAAAAATTACAATTAACTGTATAAAAAAAAGATCATTGCCAATCATATTTATTCTAATTTCAGCCAATCAAAATGAACTTCTTCAATGCTATTAGGTGTATTATATAAGAGGTGCACTATGGTGCAGGTGCACTATTTTAAAAAATCCTTATATTTATATATATAAAATAAATCTTTTAACATATATTTTATATTTATATTATTTAAAAATATATTAATTATTAA